TCACCTTGTTGGCCAGGCTGTTCTCGAACTTCTGAGTTCAAGTGATCTGCCCACCTCGGTCTCCGAAAGTCCTGGGATTACAGGCATGAGACACCATACCCTGTCAATTTGTTAACAGTGTTTTGATGCCCCTCCTCTTTTAAAGCTGAAAAGCTGAAGGAAACAGAAATTCTTATAAAATGGAAAACTTTAATTATTTAAAGCAAAGGCACAAGTAAACATTTCAGGTTATCATACAATGTTACAATAAAAAATCCCAACAGTAAAATAAAACACATCATAATTTTGCTTCCTGGTAATATATTGAATGTATTATTCTGTCATCTCCTCTTTGGAGTGAAAAGAAGGGATAGGCAGATCAGTGAATGTGATATAAAAACTTGGAGCACGAATAGCATCCACTATGCCTTTAACCAGAAATTAAATTTCAGTAGAATTAAATTTTTAAAACTTAGTTTTGTTAATTATAGAGCAGCAATAACTTTCAAGCTAGAACTCATTGTTTTAATAATAACTGATTGCATGAAATGTTCACTGTCAATGTCTGGTATGTTAATATACTTTAATCAAGCTGGTCACGAAACAGCTTTATCAAAATATAATTCATATACTTATTTTAGTTTAAACCTGAATATTACAGTGCATTATATAAAAGATAAATGTGAATAAGGAACCAAATTATTTCTTATGATATCAGAAATAATATACTTAAAAAGGTGTAAACCTTATTTTCAATCAAAGGCACTATCTGGAGAGTTAACAAGCTGCATCACGTTCAGAGCTGAGAAAAAGTTCTTCTCCTTCCCAAATAACTGGCCGATTAGTTGAAACTTGACATCTCAGCAAACACTGGGTACCTGGTATCTAGCCAAAAACAAAAGAACAAAAAAAGACGGTGGGCATAGAAATTGTGTAAAGTTACATCTTTGACTTCTTTTCCCAGGAAGAAAAAAAAAGTTTTTTTCTTTTTTTCTTTTTTTAAAGAGGGTCTTGCCATGTTGCTCAGATCGGAGTGCAGTGGTTATTCATTCACAGGTGTGATAATTACACACTATAGCCCCAAACTCCTGTACTCTCATGATCCTCCTGCCTCAGCCTCTTGAGTAGCTGGGACTACAGGAGTGTGCCAATTTTTAAAAAGGCAGTTGAAGTGTTTTCTTGATCTAAAAGTGTGTTTCATTAATTCAATGCAATTTCCATTTTATTCATATAACTTGTATCCTTTACCCCAGCTTGTCAATCCAGGATGGCAATGACACCAGGAAGGTAATTATCCCAAGGGAGCAAGCTTTCTTATTATGAGTCATTTCATTCACTTTCCCCCCCTGAATATTACTCAGCTCTAAGTGTTTAACTTAATAACATTTAAATAACACAAAATGTCAGGGATTAAATAAAATTTATCAAGAAAACACTGTTCATGCCTCAAAGTCTTGAACAACATACTTACATTAATTTGAATGAAATGAAGTCAAACCAGGGCATAATATCCTATTGTATCCTAAAGGCCTGGAAGATTTTAAGCTCTTCAAAGGTGTATTTGAATCAGGTCTTCAATGAAAAGAGTGTTATTTCTAGTTTTTTGTTGTCCAAATTACAAGAGTTTCAACAGATTAAGCTTTCCTTACCATGATTCCTTTAACACCTAATTCCTAATCAGAAATGGTACATAGTTTAGAATTACATGATTCTAGAAAATTCCTTATTTTAAAGTCAAGTTATAACCTTTACTCAATAAAGCATACCCTAAAGGTCCGTGATGAATGCTTTAAAGAAGAGTGATAGGATTCTGGAATTTTTTCCTTTCTCCTTCTCCAAAGACACAGATATCTTTCTATAATTTTCTATGGAATAAAAGACTTCATCATATAAAATGCCTGGCACGTTTTCCCTTTTGAATAGTTCTCAGTATAAGATCCATCACAAAGTTTTACGTTTCCAAATCATAAGCTTAAAAGCAAAAGCAAACAGTCTGACCTACCAATGAGTCAAACTGAAGAAGTAAACCTGCATTTCAGAGTATCTGTATCAAAGGTTAGCAAACTTTTTCTGTAAAGGATCAGATAGTAAATATTTTAGGCTACCTGGGCCATATGGTGTCCCTTGCAATGACTCAACTCTGCTACTGTAGCACCAAGCAGCCATACACAATATGTAAACAGGTGAGCATGGGTGTGCCCCAGTAAAACTTTACTTATGGACACTGCAATTCAAATTTCATATAATTTTCATGTGACACAAAATACTAGCTTTTGGAATTTCCCCCCCAACTATTTAAAAAAGTAAAAACCGGCAGCTGACTGGAATAGCTTGTAGGCTGCAGTTTGCTAACCCCTGGTCTAGATCATTCAGATTTCTTGACGTGAGGGTCAAGGCAATAATGTGGCCACATATCATCTCACTTCGCTTTGGCATTGATATCCTTTCAGACTGACAGAACTACGAAAGACAATCACCAAAGCACGAGACAATCCTGCAAGTAAGTATCTACACTCCTAAGTTGTGTAGAGCTTATATGTATTGATACTCATATATCTATCTGTATATATATTCAGGAAACATTTAAATCAAATCTATTTAAATTACTTTGTCAAAAAAGCAGGGAATTGCCGGGCATGGTGGCTCATGCCTGTAATTGCAGCACTTTGGGAGGCCAAGGTGGGTGGATCACCTGAGGTCAGAAGTTTGAGACCAGCCTGTCCAACATAGTGAAACTCCATCTCTACTAAAAATACAAAAATCAGCTAGCTGTGGTGGTGTGCACCAGTAGTCTCGGCTACTTGGGAGGCTGAAGCAGGAGAATCGCTTGAACTTGGGAGGCGGAGGTTGCAGTAAGCCAAGACTGTGCCACTGCACTCCAGCCTGGGCAACAGAGTGAGATTTCGTCTCAAAACAAAACAAAACAAAAACAAAAACAAAACAGGGTATTGAGAAATTCTTCAGCTGAACCTTTTCAAAAACTTTGGTGTCAGGGAAATCAAGGTTAAAATCTTGGCCCTTGCTAGGCACAGTAACTCACACCTGTAATCCCCACACTTTGGGAGACTGAGGCAAGAGGACTGCTTGAGGCCAGAAGTTCAAGACCAGCCTGGACAACACAGTGAGGCCCCTAAAAAAAAATCTTGGCTCTGCTACTTACTAGCTTGTAACCACAGGTAATTAATTAACCACCAGGATTTAGCCTGGTGTTAAGGACAGACACGGGGGCATGTTTACAATTTCATTTCTCAGGCAAGCAAACTGCTACAAAAACTTTGCTGGAAAGCCTAGTGCACAATGTACCTGAAGTCTTAACTCCTAGTTTCTGACAGAAAACTACATTTGTCTCTTCTACTCTATTTCATAAGGTTTTTTTTCGGCATGCAACATACTGTGCAAAACTGTGCCTCCATACATACTGAATTCTACTTTTCTCTTCCAAGGCTGCTTTTTTCTATAGGTTAACAAAGTGTTTTTTTCCACAGGCTAACAAAAATGAGAGTAGAACGTATCCAGTCAACATTTTCATGTCGTCTTTCCGTAGTACAAGTGTAATTTGGGTGCTTTCTCTAATTTATCAATGACAGGCATCCTGTTTTCTAGGAAACAATATCTAAATGATAAAGAAAAAACTGGTAGGAAAGGATTCTTATGGCTTTATCTATAGAACAAAAACTAGATAATCTGAAGATCATGTTCATAGATTATTTGTAGATATAACTGCTATGTTTCTTGGACCTTAGCCCATTGCTTAAATTACATTAAAATATTAGCACTAATATGTGCTATAACTTCAATCATGAAAAATTTAGTTACATACACATGAAGTACAAGATTTCACCAATAGTGTTTTTGAACAGGCATCAGTTATGAATCTGCTAGTGCTGAATGCTAAGCAAAATACTAAAGCTCTTAAAATATTAGTGTTTTATTTTTCAATTTTCTTTTAACCTATGATTTATAGAAGTCCTGTTAGATGCCAAAAGAGTCATTTTGCAACATATATGTTCTTCCTATAAAATGATATTCAATGTTAGGTGGTACAGGTTTATAAATACGTACAAATAAACATTATGTCTGTAGTTAAGCTACTACTCTGGTAACCAACACATGGAAGCATCATATGCACATAAAAGTTAAACATTAAAACCAAACTTAAAACTCTCAAAACAGATAACCACAAATTTGTGTTTATGAAATTATACAGAATAAAGGCTTTGTGTGTGGTTGTGTTCAGTGGCCCACCAGTAATTTCCATGGAAGAAAGAAACAAAAACAAAAGCAAAACCTCCCAGACACGAAAAAGGTAGGCTGGGTGTGGTGGCTCACCTGTAATCCCAGTACTTTGGGAGGCTGAGGTGGGTGGGTCACATGAAGTCAGGAGTTCGAGACCAGCCCGGCCAACATGGCAAAACCCTGTCTCTGTTAAAAATACAAAAAATTAGCTGGGCATGGTGGTGTGCACCTGTACTCCCAGCTACTCAGGAGGCTGAGGCAGGAGAATTGCTTCAGCCTGGGAGGTGGAGGTTACAGTGGGCTGAGATCACACCACAGCACTTCAGCTGGGGTGACAGAGTGAATCTCTATTTTAGAACAACAACAACAACAGAAAACAAAACACAAGGTAGAACAGATGTATGTCTTGGTCAAATGTCTATAGACAGCCACCTTGAGAACAAATTGATAAACATAAATATACAATTTGCTCACTGAGCATAAAATATTGCACAAGAGCAGTTTTGTCTGAAGAAAATTCAATTTTCCATAGTTTTGAACTTCAAAATGGTTCCCACATATATAGTTGCATTTTCTAAACAAGAAACATTAATATTCAGTAATACTGTTAGAATGTTGTTTTACACATTAACCATATACCAGTCTACTTTATGGCAATAGTAAATCAGTGGTAAAGATTTGGCAAAGATAAAAAGGCAGATAAGACTGTAAAATATAATATATATATATATATACACACACACACATATATATATATATATATATATATATATATATATATATCTGTACATATGAAACAGTTCCAAATCCCTAATCACATGATAACTGATCCCTTAAAGAAATCCATAGTCTAGGTCACAGTGATGGTCAGACAGTGGTTGAATACGACTCTTTTCTTCTCGGGGGGTGCTCCTTTTGAACCACTCGATTGCTCTCTCTGGTTTCCAGCACACTGTCGTCTGTTTCGCTCGCACTACCATCTGCCACTGCAGGGTCCAAAGACATCGAGTCAGATTTTCCGTGCAAAGGAAAACCAACACCAGTTTCCCGTAAGGGATTATCTATAAAATCTTCATCAGAGGAATGGAATGATTCATCATCTCCTATTAAATGGTTGACAATGTGGATTCCATCAAAAGGAGGTTGGCCTGAGAAACCCCTCTGGCCTTTTAGGCACCTGAGCTGTTAAAACAAAATCCAAGTTAATAGAGTCAAATGAGGGAAACATACACGCCAAAAAGCAATTCCATGTTTAAGAAAGAAGTTGCCTTATTATTTTTCTATTTACAGGTATAATAGTAGTTGCTAATTTTTGAGTGTCTTCTATGTGTTATGTAATGGTCTTATAACTTACATTTATTTATTTTTATTGCATTTTAGGTTTTGGGGTACATGTGAAGAACATGCAAGATTGTTGCATAGGTACACACATGGCAGTGTGATTTGCTGCCTTCCTCCCCATCACCTATATCTGGCATTTCTCCCCATGCTATCTCTCCCCAACTCCCCACCCCTGACTGTCCCTCCCCTATTTCCCCCCAACAGACCCCACTGTGTAGTGCTCCCCTCCCTGTGTCCATGTGTTCTCATTGTTCAACACCCGCCTATGAGTGAGAACATGCGGTGTTTGATTTTCTGCTCTTGTGTCAGTTTGCTGAGAATGATGGTTTCCAGGTTCATCCATGTCCCTACAAGGGACACAAACTCAGCGTTTTTGATGGCTGCATAATATTCCATGGTGTATATGTGCCACATTTTCCCTGTCCAGTCTATCATCGATGGGCATTTGGGTTGTTTCCAGGTCTTTGCTATTGTAAACAGTGCTGCAATCAACATTCGTGTGCATGTGTCCTTATAATAGAACGATTTATAATCCTTTGGATATCTACCCAGTAATGGGATTGCTGGGTCAAATGGAATTTCTATTTCTAGGTCCTTGAGGAATCGCCACACTGTCTTCCACAATGAAGTGTAAATTAGTTTAACTAATTTACACTCCCACCAATAGTATAAAAGTGTTCCTATTTCTCCACATCCTCTCCAGCTTTGCTCTTGTTGCCCAGGCTGGAGTGCAATGGCGTGATCTCCGCTCACTGCAACCTTGGCCTCCTGGGTTCAAGCGATTCTCTTACCTCAGTGTCCCAAGTAGCTGGGATTACAGGCGTGTGCCTCCATGCCCAGCTAATTTTTTGTATTTTTAGTAGAGACAGGGTTTCACCGTGTTGGCCAGGATGGTCTCGATCTCCTGACCTCGTGATCCGCCTGCCTTGGCTTCCCAAAGTGCTGGGATTACAGGCGTGAGCCACCACGCCCGGCCACTTTTATTTTTTTGAGACAGGGTCTCACTTTGTTACCCAGGCTGGAGTGCAGTGGCGTGATTTGGGCTCACTGCAACTTCCACCTCCTGGACTCAAGCAATTCTTCCACCTCAGCCTCCTGAGTAGCTGGGACTACAGGCATGTGCCACCATGCCTAGCTAATTTTTTTGTATTTTTTTTGGACGTGGTGTTTCACCATGTTGGCCAGGCTGTTCTCAAACTCCTGGGCTCAAGCAATCTGCCTGGCTCAGTCTCTCAAAGTGCTGGGATTATGTGTGAGCCACCACACCTTGCCTATAACTTATTTTAATTGAATCATAACAACAGTCCTATGTGGTAGATTTTAGTATTTATTTTTCTCGTTATACAGATCAGGGAATGGAGACTCAGGAAAAGTAACTTGCTAAGGGCATAGAGCTAGTAGCAGAGTTTAGATTCAACCTGAATCTTCATTATACTAGAAATAATATAATGGACTCCATGTACCTATCACCTAATTTCTACAAGTAACACCCATCACAGACAATGTTGTTACATTATACCCCTCTTGTTCCTGGATAATTTTGAGGTAAACCCCAGACATCCTATCAGTTTATCTGTCAATATTTTGCTGTGATTTCTAGAAGAGATGAACTTAAAAACCATACTATCACACACACTATCTTGAGAGCATGTCTCCATAGTTCTGCAAATGATGAGAATGATTTACAACTCATTAAAACTTTGCTAAGAGTCTCCATCCTGTTATACTAGCCCAAAGGCCACCATATCAATATCACTCACAGTGGGGCAGAAATGCTGCTTCCCACTCATGAGGTTTCCTTCTACCTGGAGGGAGTGCCAGTCCTGTATAACATTTCTGCCTTCTCTCCTCGACTTCCCCTGGGAAGAAGGGGCTTCTCTTACCGGGGAGGATGAGAGAGGAATGGTATGCATAGCTCAACTCTTTTCATCTTTTAGAATCAGGCTCTGGTCCTCAATCCCTGGAGTTATAGTGCAAGACCCTCATATGGGGAGGCTTAAGGAGGTCAAAAGCTACTTGTTACTGGGTGGGCAAGTCTGACTAATTCTAGAGTTTAGTATTGAAAAAATTGTTTCCACATTTAAATCTAAACCACATTTTCCAAAACCAGTTTTATCAGAATTAAAACTGATTTATTTTCATCATCTGCAACTTCTTTGCCCCAGTTTCCTCAAACTCCCAAACCTAAAACCATGACAGTATCACGTCTACTCACATACAATGAACTCAACAGCCCTGCCCTCAAGAGTTTATGTTTTTTCGTTTGAGATGGAGTTTCACTCTTGTTGCCCAGGCTGAAGTGCAATGGTGCGATCTGGGCTCACCGCAACCTCTGCCACCTGGGTTCAAGTGATTCTCCTGCCTCAGTCTCCTGAGTAGCTGGGATTACAGGGATGTGCCATCATGCCCAGCTAACTTTGTGTTTTTAGTAGAGACAGGGTTTCTCCTTGTTGGTCAGGCTGGTCTTGAACTCCTGACCTCAGGTGACCAGCCCGCCTCAGCCTCCCAAAGTGCTGGGATTACAGGCATACACCACTGCACCCGGCCAATGTTTTAAATATAAAGTTTGATTTTTGACATTCTGTCACTTCATTTCTCTCATACACCATGAATTTTCTCCTACAACAAAGTCAAAGAGTAAAAACCAAAAACCAAAAACAAGAATTAGCTACCAAATTATCTACCCTATTAAAAATCTTGCTAAAATATGTTCCACATCTCCTATCCTCATCCTTGTTTCTCAGGGACAAACTCCTAGTCACAAACTTTCAATTCTTTAGATAAAGGCAATGTGAAATATTCAGGAAATATTACATACACTTTCAAAAGTAACGGATCTGAGAATAAAGACATTACAGCCTCGCCATAATACCTCCCACCTTTCCTGAAAGACTTCCAGGAAGGAGTGAAGAAACCTCAGCACTTCTCTGCTTCTATATGATAACAAGAATCAACAGGAATGCCGGGACTCAGTACAATGATGTCTGGCCCAAGCAGATCTCCAAGTATAAAGGAATTTCTGCGCCCTAGACCAAGTGGACAAATTTATGGTGAGGTACAACGTAATTTAAATAATACCCTTCTCCTTGGCAGAACAGAGGGATCTACACTTGGAGCTGAATCTTTAGGAAAAGGGCACAGCACACCACAAAGGCCTCCTCAAGATTATGATGCCCACTGCATTGTTACAACTGCCACGTTCTGATGCAACATCCTATCGCCATATTGCAACACAAAATTTATAGCTCCAAGTGTTAAATTAAGTCAGTTAATCTCTTCCTTTCTCTTTTCCCCCCAGACCTTTTTGAAGAAATCATATGGAACATGTGTCTTCCTTCTTCCTGGCTGTTATAAAGGAGGAGTATGGCAGAAGAACCACAACTTCCCAATTGTTTGGAAAGTTGCAGCTTTCCTTTGCTCTAACAAAATGTATTGCAATTAAAACACTGCAGCCTCATCATCAGATGTAACTATAGAAAATTATAGGTTGAAGGGTAATTTCCTGAACATCAAAGGAATCTCATTGAGAGCTGTTAATATGGAAAGCAAAGGTAAAGGAATTTATTGGTGGAGAGAAAAAATAGTGAAGGTAAGCAATTATAAGCTATCCCTGAGTTATATGTCCCTTAGACTTAGGTGTGTGCACACTGGTTCTGATGAGGGAGGAGTCCTGTACTGGGCCTGGAAGTGGGCATTTGGGGAAGGAATTTCAGGGTACTGAGTACCCAGAGTATGTTCTAGGAGGGGCTGCATGAATTTCAGGTAGGTATGTCTTCTGAAAGTCCTCATTCTGTGGAAAGGGCTTTGGCTAGAAGAAAGCTGTAGCTAGGCCCTCTAAAGTATAGTCCTGGTTGTCTGATCTAAATGGTATATTGCTTATTTTTGCTACCAGACTTTCACGGGCAACCACAAAAGCAGACAACATATATCTGTCTATATATCTAGGCAACCACAAAAAGCAGACAATCAACCTTCCCAACTCCCACTTTCCTCCAAAGAAAAAAAAAAAAAAGAAATCCTTCATGGGTATTATCAGTAGCAAACTGAAATTAGCATATTTCAAAATGTAATACACTAGTCATCTGCATAAGAACTGAGGCTCTCTGTCAAAAATGCAGAATCCCTGTTGAGATCCAAGGATTCAAAATCCTGAAAGTGAAATCACAGAATATACATTTTTTCACATGTATCTCAAGAAATTTTGAAATATAGTTGGCCCTCTATATCAGTGGAATCCGAATCCATGGATTCAAACAATTGTGGGTCCAAAATAATTAGGAGGAAAAAAAAAGGACAGTTTGTACTGAACATGTACCAACTCTTGTCATCACCTCCTTAACGATACAGTATAACAACTTGTGTACATTGCATTAGGTGCTACAAGTAATCTAGAGATGACTCAAAATATATGGGAGGATGTCTGTAGGTTATATGCAAATATTATATGATTTTATATAAGGAACTTGAGCATCCATAGATTCTGGTATCCACAGAGATCCTGAAACCAATCTCCAATAGATACCAAGGGATGACTGTGTTCTAAACTCTGAGAATCACCATGGTAGACCCTCTGGTTCAAATAAAATGGGGCTGAGACAGAAATAAGTTGATTTAGCTGAAATGGAATTCTTACTTAGGACAAAAGTCCTTCTGAAGTATGAACATTCAACTAGTGTCTGGTATATAGAAATGGACACCATCTTTCCAGTAGTACAACCAAGCTGTTCTGGGCCAATTCTACCACCTGGTGGTGGACAGAAGGAAAACTGTTTAAATGAACTTCTGCAATTTCTCTTCATATGGAGGTAAGGTCTAAAGACCTATATGTTCAAAAAGCCTAA